GCTAGAAGTATTTAATAGTTTTTATGTCAATTCTCTTATCTACTTGTGTAACTCCCATTTTTTGTTGGAATTTAAAAATATTTTTAACTTTTAGAACATGTATAAGTTAAACAATATAATAGTAACATCCATGAAAATGATATTAAAAATATTAATTCAGAGCAAAATACAAAAATTTAATTAACCTAAAAGTCCTGTTTGGTATCGAGGAAGTTAAGCACTTTGCAAGGATTTTAATTGGATGTTATTTCTATCATATTATTATTTATTATTTTAAGGATAAAGTTAAAAAGTTAAAATTTTATTAAAAATAAATAAATTTATTCAACTTTATATTTTCATACATAAAGATAATTTTGTAAATTTATACTACATTTCCAATAAAATGCTTTCAAACCAAACTCTACAATGTAATCCTCTCAACAATCACATTTGTAAGCCTTATGTATGAAACCAAATACTGCAAAGTTATCTTATCAGCAATCACATAACTAGTAATCGCATTCCCATTAATCACATTCTTTGCAACATACCAAATGTAACCAAAGACACATGTAATACATGTCTAGGACTAGATCTAGAATAATAAAAAAGTGTACCATTTAATTACCTCTAAAGGCTACTAACCCCTTCTACAAGGCATTCCACATTGAAGATTTTTGGAAGGTAGCTTCGATGATGAACTATAAATATGAGCAAGAGATTTGAAGAATAACACCAATTAACCAAGCAGTTAATTTTATCATAAGTAAAAGAAAATTTGTAGCAATGGCTTCCTCTAAAGTTTTGCCATTTCTAAGAGCTTCATTCCTTCTTTTTGTCTAACTACCACCAACCTCAATTCAATCTCGACCTATTAAAAATCCTACTAAGAATGCCTTTGAGTTCATCCAACACCTGTAAAGCTGCCATAAGGTTAAATCGTTAAAGGGCTTAAGGATATGAAAAGATATCTCTAATCATTTAGGTACTTGAACTACTTTCAAGCATACAACAAAAGCAAAAATCATGCAAATGATGATGAGTTCGATGACATGTAAGAGTCTACAATCAAAACATACCAACGATACTATCATTTGAAAGTCATCGAAGATTTGGATGCTGAGACAGTGAATCATTGATGCAACCTAGGTGCAGTGTCCCGGATGTTGTCAATGGCACAAAGGTTCACCACAGTCACAAGTCACTCCACTCTATTGGCCATTTTTAGTTTGTTCCAATTAGAGAAAAATGGCTAGATTCCAAAACAAAATTAACATATCGCTTAAGTTCAAGTGCTTTAGTCCTTGAAGAAAAGAAGATACAATTTATCATTTCATATGCTTTCTAAACATGGTTTAAAGTTACTAGTTTTGCATTTGAGGAAGTGCCACCAGATTCCAATTTAGATATTGTGATTGGCTTCCACCGGGGATCCCATAAAGATAACACTCCCATTGATGGTCTTCGAGGGGTTCTTGCTCATGCTTAGCCTCCAACTCTTAGAATTTTCCATTACGATGCTAAAGAGAAATGGAGTAGCAATCCAGTAGCCGAGTCAACTTAGGTGGACTTGGACTCAGTTGCAATGCATGAAATTGGTCATGTTTTGGGGCTTCATCATGATGAAGTCCATAGTGTTGTCATGTTTGCATGTTATCAACCCGGTACTACGGAAAGGGATATGGATACAGATGATATTCAAGGGATTCGAACTTTATATGGATTGTAGTGACAAATGAAAGGCAAGAAGAGTTGAGGGAGTCTCCATTTTTTTAGCAAATAAAGAGATTATAATGTACTTGCATTTTCTACTTCTATAAGAATAATAATATAAGGAAATTGTGAGAAATGGTCAATTTCATAAATCTATTTTAGAAATAGCCTTCCATATAAAGTTAACTATTTTTGCGCAATTTTAGCCATTAGATAACAAAAATACTCTTGAAACCATTTCAAACAAATTAAGCTGTTGATTTCTCCCTCTTACCATCCATGCAAATTAAATGCTCTATCAGCTTTCTCTTGCCATCTAGGTCACTTAGCTTACTTAGCTCTTTCTAATTTTACCATAATAGCCATCACTCTCTAATCTATCTCTCGTGATCTTAACATATCATAGTCGATCTAAGGACTAAAGAGCAGAAATGACATTAAAGTATGTTATTAGGTTAATTGATTTACATTTACAGAATCTCAAAGTTTTTGGAAAACTTACTAAATTTGTTTCTTAATGTTTTCTTTAAATTAAAACACTAGCCAGAGTTGCTATTGTTAAATGCCTGTGGCACACTATTTTCGAACATGGTGTGTAGAAATTTTTTATGAAAATGGCGTGTAGCAAATTGTTTTTGAACATGACGTGTAGAATTTTTTTTTTGCAAAAACGGCGTTTAACAAACTGTTTTTAAATAAGCATGTAGCAAAATTAGAATGAACATGGCATGTAACATTTTCTCAACATGGAATGTAACAATTTTTTTTTTCGACATGGCATGTGATAATATTTTTCCAACATAGAATGTAACAATTTTTTTTTAACATGGCGTGTAACAACATTTTCTCTATTTGGCATGCGACAAACATTTAGAACTTAGCAAGTAACAACTTGTTGATAAATTAATTTCATTTTACAAATTATAGAGATTATAGAGAAAGATGTAAACCCATTATGTGTAACATAAATTATCTATGAGCACTTGCTTCCATAATATAATACTTGGTAATGAGTGAGTTTGAAAATAGTCCATTTTATTATGTAGGGGAAAATCAAGCCCATTCATTACCATGTCTTGTATGTTGATGAAAAAACTAGTATCAGACAGAAGAAGTATATAATAATATTAAAAGTTAAGCTTAGTTTACCTAAATTCTAATATGAGATAAAAATCAAATTCTGTGATATAGGAAATGGTAGTATCAACAGTAAACTTGCATAATTTTTTAGAACATGGCATGTAAGAACAACATGTTTTCAACCTGGTGTGTAAGAAAATTTTAGATCATAGCATATAGTAACTTTTTTGATAAATTGATTTTGACATTTTTTTTAAAATTTTGGCAGTGTGCCAAATGTGCGACTTGTGAAAAGATATAGTGGTCATTGGGTTGATGACATTTACAAGGGAGTGAATAACGAATACGGGAGGTTAGTAGTGATTTGTCATTTGCAGGCCTGATGAAGTTGGTTGAAGATGTTGTTGGAGTCAACTCATAAAATCACAAAATCAAGCTATATGCATTAATCAGTATACCCTAGAGAGCTATCATGCACAATTATCAAGGATGATAAGGATGTTGTACTAATTCTGCTAGAGCAAAGACTGATCTGGCAATGTATGTCCTCGTTAATGAACGGGATACAAATGTTATGTCACATGATCATGCTGTCCAATATGGTAATCACCTCAATTAGATTCAAATTTACACTGATTCACATATAGCACACCATTTAGTACTTAACTCATAATAATGGCATTTGACATATGCACAGGAGTTTGTGTAGTTTGGTACACATATGACATTCTCACAACAATTAGCTACACAATTCCAATCATCATGTGCATCAATTACTTGCATTTGTGCAACTAATGCAACCGTTGGGTAATATTGTAGAGGGTCTAATGCCATATTCAAACCACATTGCAATGATCAAGGACGAGGCCGCATTTGATCAAGGTAAAGATGATTGGTTTCCTGTCAATGAAGATAGTTTTGATGAAGATTATGATGGCGGGCATGATGACAGTTTAAAAGATGACTAGGTTTATGATAGTGACATTTCAAATTGCAATAATGTTAAAGGCAGTATAGAACATGATAGAGGTGTAGATTTAGGAGTTGTTCAGTGTGATGACCTCAAATACAATAACCGATGGTGAGTACGAGATTTGTTAGCTTGAGACATTGCCTAATAATAGTGATCAAGAAAAGGCAAACGCAAGGGTATACATGGCTTATTTCGAGTGCAAATATGTTCTCTTTTCCAACAGCTACCAGCGAGGAGTCCACATCAACCAATGACCACTTATATCGAGGAAAATGTTTTCCTTTAAAGTCGAATTGAAATGAGCTTTAAACATGTTCACACTAAATGACCAGCATGAGATAAGAGTTATAAGGTCATGTCAGGCTACTTTTGAGATTGCTTGTAAGGACAAGCATGCAAGTTCATTATGCATGCAACCAAGTTACCTAAAAGAGATTATTGGCAAATTTGCATGTTTTAAGAGGTACACATGTACATTGTCAATGGCTTACAAGGTCGGTTTTGAACATTGAGTGCAAAGATAATTGGTGAACTTATGTCCCCCAACCTTCAAGCTAATGGAAACTAAGAGAAAACCTAGAGAAATCAAGCAAACAAAAAAACAAAAAAATTTACGTGGTTTGGCCTCTTGCCTGCGTCCACTAAGTAAAACTATTCTTATATTATTGAGAAATTAAAGTACAATAAATTGACCTTTATGGCTCTCCAAACCAACCCAAGATCCCTTTCACATTCTTTTTCAATAACCTCCCAATAACACTCACCTAAACCACTCTAGCTCTACCTAGAGCAAAAGATAGAGTTACAAAGTGTCCCTTCTCTAAGAGTTCTCAAAGCCCTACTTGTAATTCTAAAGCCTAAAGATCCACTTATATAATATAAAAGTCCAAAGTAAAATGTGATTAGAACTCTATGTGGAATAAGAAGTTTAAAACCATACAACTACTTAATGTTGTACACAAACAAAAAATCCTAATCAAATAAGATCTAGAATTCTAGTCAACCTAAAACTCAACAAATCTCCACCTTTGACTTGAATTCAAACTCCTTAAACTTCTTCCACCAGTCGCACCCAATTGCAACTTCCTAACTCTACCTACTCTTTAACACTTTGAAGAACACTCCAGGCACAAGACTTTTCAAATCATTGGCCTTTATAATTACCATGACTACACATAACGAATCAAGCATGGTCCAACACTCGATTCCACAAAACGACCAATGCAACTGTGTAACCGTAAAGTCAATGGCACTAATTGACTTTGAAAAGAGACCTCAACGACCTTTCCAATTCACCATTGGCAAGATTTTTCGTCCTTTCACCATCGTTTACACCATGGGAACCTTTTATCACCTCCTCAGCAAATGAAATCTCACTTTGGTAGCTATCATCTCCTATGCACTGTTCCCATCCCTTCGAGGCTTCACATTCTAGATGATATAAGTCATTATACAAATTTTCCTTCATCAGGACCATGTCACCTTGTGTGACTTTTACCACTCCATCATAAGCAAAATATCCATACCCTTTAGAGTCTAATAGGCTCAATGGTGTTAGATTATTACGCATCTTTGAGACATAGGCCACACCACCCAAAGAGCGCACGATCCTATCAAACATTTTGATTTTTACTACTCCAAGATCTATGACTTTCACTATTGACTTATTACCTAAAGCCAAATTCCCAGTCACCCCTTCTTGAAAAAAATCAAAATAATCTTTTTGATAACATATATGAGTGGCAGAAGCAAAATCTAAATACCAATCAAAATTTGCATCTATATTTTCTGATATTATAAGGACATCATAATCATCACCTTCAGCAATGAAAACACACTCACCTTTGTTCTCATTACTTTCATCCCCTTTTGTAGGACAGTCCTTTTTAATATGTCCATACCCTTTGCATCAAAAGCACTGAATATTGTTGGATCTAGACTTGTCACCCTTAAATCCCTTATCAGTTGACTTCCTCTTACGAACCTTAGTTACCAATGCCAAGCCACTTGGATCTCTATCTCCTTCTTTACTTTTCTCTCGGGCTTTATGAGACATTAATGTTGATTGTGCTTGTTCTAACGTTATTGTATCCATCCCACATATTAGAGATTCCACAAA